TTTTTGGCTCTATATGATACTACTTCTAATTTAAAATAATTTTGTTTTTTTAATTCCTTCATAAATTAAGAAGTTAGTCACAAGTTATATATTTATTTATATTATCCTTAAGAAAAATATGATAAAGAGATACATTTACTGATAAGATAATTACTTATAATAAATAAATAAAATATAATACTCCTTTCAATTTTTAATAAAGAAAAATTATATTATTTTAGATAAACGCAAACTTTTTTTAATTATTTCATTTCATTAAAAAACTTTGTCTATAAAGTTAATATATTTTTTAATAATAAGTTAATATTATTAATTAAAGGGGAAAACTGAAATTGAAACTAATTTGATAAATATTAATATATATAGTAACAAAAAATTGAATAATTAAAATAAATAAATTTATCAATAAAATTAAAAAGTTTTAATCCATTAGCAGTTTGATGTAAAAGGCTATTTTATATAATTTTTTCAATTTGTTAGTACTTTAGATCCTAAATGCTACTTGTAGGTGTCAAGTTATAAAATAAAAAATTTTACCAAACACTTAGTGGTTAGGATTTTAAAAATAAACAAATATAATTACCAAATGTTTTATCTTATAGTGAATTAGATAAAATTACTAACCATTAGATCCAAAATGCTATTGTAGACATTAAAAAATTTTTGTTATAATTAAAATATGTTTACCCCGTAACATCTTAAAAATTGCAATAATAAATCTTTAAAAAGAGATTTTATCTTAAATTAAATTAAATTGTTTATAAATTGATTAAATTATCTTTAAAGTGAAGGGCATTTGAAGTCATTTGACAACCTTTCTTTGGCTATAAATAGGCCATTCATTTGGTGAAAATGGGGGTGGGGTAAGAAAAAGGGAAAATGAAGAAGAAGGAGAGGAATAATAAGTTTCAAACCCATTAACAATTCTCAAAATTCTCAGTTGAGAGTGGTTTCAACTCTCTAGTAAAGATAAGTTCCGAATTCCTATGAAGGAGAAAAAGTTGTAAAGATAATTCTCAAATTCTTTAAAATATAAGATCAAGTTTAGACCATTATCCTTCTAAAACTAGTTGTTAACTTGAGAATTGTGACATTTCAAAACATACCACTACTTAAAGTTTATGCACGTATATTATAACACTCTAAATCAAAAGTTATTTTTTATTTTTTTCAAATTTATTATAATTTATGTTTATTATTTTACAAATCAATATATATTATTTGATTTTGTAGATTTTGTAACTATAATTATATCAATTAAGCCCAAAAAAGAACAACTAAATAAAAATTTTAACTGCTAATCCCAAAATGCTGTACCAGCTACCTTAAGGAGGGCAACTAAAGCAAAATTTAAAAACATAACATTTTTATTTTCTATTAAAATACCAAGATAACAACACACGAAAAGTGTTCGTCTCACATGATGGACAAAATGGGTAAACAAAAAGTCCAGCGGCTCACTCTTTTTGCGCTAGCAAGCGTCGCTTTTCCTTCTGTCTGGTGCAGGTGCTCACGGTTTTGCCTTTTTCTTTTTTTCTCACATAAAATAAAATAATAACTTATATAATAAAATATAGTTCTCACTCTCTCTTGATCTCCTCACTTATCACAATATTTGAATTTGAATTTGAAATCTTCGATTACTTAAGACACCCCATCGTGGCATGGTTTTGCCTGGTGTTGTATTCTGTTTTGCAGGTTATTTTTGGTAGGTATGACGGGGCAATTCATTGAGCTGTTTTTTTTTTTCTTTCTTTCTTTCTCTTGGTAAAGAAGAGAAAATAAAACGAGAGAATAACTGTCTGGGGTAGCAAGCCCTTACAAGATCAGCCATACACAACAAATTCACATCAGGTGGACAGTCAAACAAAATATGAAACCCGTGAGGGCCCAGAGCTCCCTCTTTGGCAATTCATTGGGCTGTTTGTTGGCCGTTAAATCTCCCCAAAAATCAGCCGACCATTTAATCAATTCATCCACCAATTTGTCTCCTCAACTAACCGTCCATGACTTTGTCATAGGCGAGATGGCGGGTTGAGGTTTCAGCCCATGTTTTAGTCTAATTATAGTGGGCAGGGGCTAGCAATGGGCTGCTGAAATATTGTAGGCCTATGCCGCGAACCAACTCTTACTTCGAAAACACAAAACCGAGCTAAATTTAGGTCCAACTTGAACCATACAACAATAAATTCCGATTTCAATTGTTGAAACCGATTTCCTGTACAATCGTACTTCCATCAAGGTGATAGATTCGCCTGTTAGTATGTTAGTTTGAGGGCTACTCATAAACTAATTGAGAAAACCTCGGCTGACACAAACCAATTAAGGTTCGAGCTTAATCTTTATTTTAAGTGCACGTTTGTATGTAAACTACTCGCAAGAACTCAATTCAGTGTTAAAAGTTTTTTAATATATTTATTACATAATTTAAATGTGTAATAAGGTTAAAAAGATAATTTTACAATTATTATTGTACCCAAGATGCTGGTAGAGTTAATATTGGATAATGATAAATCAAATTAAAATTTAAAATTAATAAACAAATCATATTATTTAAAATATTGAAAAATAAATTTATATTATTTTTTTATTTATTTTTAAATTTACAATATTATAAACTTAACAAATTTAATAACCTAATATAACCCATATTAATCTTAAATTTTCCTCTACCCTGTCCTTACTCGCTAGTATTAGACAAGCCGGCTGACAATTTTACAATTATTACGAGGGACACAGCTGGTATTAGGCAAGGGGAGCAGCTCCTTAGCTTTTGTAAAATAGTAAATATGGTCTTCTACCTTTTATATATTAAGATTTTCTTTCTCGTGTTTGAATTTTATTATTGCCAGTATGATTTTAAATATGGAGAAAATAATTTGAATCTAAGAGTTTTGAAAGGATTAGGATTGAACCCTATTCAGATTTGATTAATTAAGAATTAGTGATAATTTTTTTCTCATTACGTACAATGCAAGCTTTGATATTTCTTTCTATTTTCTTAATTAATATTCCATCTAATAACTTGAAATTTTTTTTTGGCACCATGTTGTGTTTTTCCTTTTTATGATTGGGTTTATAATCATGTTCTTTGTGCTATGTTAGTTTAAGAAAATTCTTGTTTTAATAAAAAAAATTCATTTATTAAAAAATATGAGAAATTGTCTAATGTGTTTGTTTTCTTCTTTTGATAAATATGTTCATTTTTTTTTTCCATTAATAATATATTAATTGAAAAGATAGTTACAACTAATTTTTTTAAGAAAAAGAGAAGAAATTAAACTAATGCCTTTTGAAAATACATGAGCTATAAGTACTCAACAAAAAATTGTGTCCTATCAAGGAAAGTAAATATGCAGCTTTGAATTCATAGATCTAGTGAATTTGTTTTGATATAATTGTATATATATTATATATATTTTCTTTCCTATTTTATTAAGATACAAAACTATTGTCTTGTATATATTGTACTGTTATTGGGTTAAAATAAATCAATGAGAAAGTTTCTTTCAGAGTCATTGCTTTTCAACCCTTCAGTGGTATCAGAGCCTTCAAACTCACATGAGTTCTTTGTTCCCATGGCCTCCAATGATGAAACCCCACATTCTGCAGCCTCCAAACACTCCGCAGTGATTGTCGTTGACTCCAACACCACCAAACATCCCATCTCATTCAATTCCTCTGCTTTCCTGGTGAAAGTTACACCAAACAATTATTTGTCATGGAAGGCGTAAATCATATCCCTTCTTGGAGGATATGAGCTTGATGGTTTCCTTGATGGAACCTATCCTTGCCCAGTAGCCATTAAACCAACCTACAGCTTATGGGCATGCCAAGACCTACTTTCGAGACATGCTCTCATAACCTTTGTCTCCGAACCTATAACCCCATATATTGCTATTGTTACAATAGCTCAACAAGCCTATGAAACTTTAGCCAGATTGTATGCCAACCGATCTAGAACTCGAGTCATCACACTTAAGGAACGGCTTCAAACTATGAAGCGTGATGGCTGCTCCATTTCAGAATACCTCTGAGCTCTTAAAACGATGGCTGATGAGCTCGAGACTACAAACCATCCTCTCACAAATGATGACCTCACTATGTATATCCTGAATGGCTTGGGATAGGAATTTCAAGAAATTGCAACCTCTTTTTGCACCCATGACTCCTCCTTGTCCTTTGATGATTTGCACGATCGACTGGTCACACATGAAGAGAGCTTGAAATGAGATGAACTTCAAATTGATTTTATTTCGGTTACTGCTCATTATGCTACTGTTCCTGGTATGATGAATTCTTCCTCTTTGCATGTAGGTCTGCATCCCTCAGCACACACTACTGGACGTCAATCATGATCTTCCCAGCAACAATTCCATGGGAAAGTTGGGTCCAGTTCACCATCCAGGCCCAATCAATTTCGGCGTTGCAACCCAGGCCCACGAAATCAAAGCAAGCCCACCGGCACCACTTGCCAGCTTTGCCCTCGTGTTGGGCACTTCGCCAATAATTGTCCCAATTTTCGAGTTCAAGTTCTTGGTCCCATGGCCAATGTTGCTTCCTCCTCTGCTGGCCTCATTGACAACTGCCTCTTGGATTCGGATGCCAACAATCATGTCACCACTAACTTGGCAAATTTGACTCTGCACTCAGAATACAAGGTCCTGATGAGCTTCAAATTGGTGATGGCACAGGTTTGACAATCACACATGTGGGGCATTCCACGCTATCCACTCCACACACTAATTTACCCTAACACAATGTTTTATGTGTTCCTTTTGCTTCTTGCAATTTAAACTCTGCTTCTCGCAATTTAATCTCTGTTTCTCAACTATGTAAAAGTGCAAATGTCTATATTGAATTTCATGCAAACTATTTTTCGGTGAAGGACTCTTGCACGAGGAAGACTCTACTTCGAGGGCGAAACATTCATGGGGTTTACCAAATTCAAGGAAGCATTAACCCACAACCTAGGGCATTCGTAGGCAAACTTACTACTATGGCGAATTGGCATTTACAACTAGGTCATCCTTCAATAAAGACTCTCAAATATATTATTAATGTCTTTAATCTTCCATTATCTAATAAAATAAGTTTTTCTTCTTGTGAGTCATGTGCATGTTCCAAGAGTCATAAGCTTCCTTTTTCAAATTCATCAATTAAAAGCACTTCTCCACTTGATCAGATATTTTCTAATGTTTGGGGACCAACACCAACTCCCTCTATTGATGGTTATCATTATTTTGTTTTATTTATTGAACTTTTTAGTCGATACATTTGGATTTATCCCATTAAAGCTAAATCTGAAGTTTCCATTATTTTTCCAATTTTTAAAGGGTTGGTTGAAACACAATTTAATTGCAAAATCAAAAATTTTCATTCAAATGGTGGGGGTGAATATGTTGCTCTTCATAGTTTTTTATCTCAAAATGGCATCTCCCATGTCACCACCCCTCCATATACCCCAGAACTCAATGGCATTAATGAGCGTCATAATCAACATATAGTTGAAACTGGACTCACACTCTCCACAATGCCTCCCTTCCATCCAAATATTGGTCCTATGCCTTTCAAACAACTGTCTACCTTATAAATCGGTTGCTTTCCTCATCCTTATCCAATAAAACACCCTTTGAAAAGCTATTCAAACTTCGACCTAATTATGTTAAACTTAGAGTTTTTGGGTGCCTTTGTTTTCCATTGCTCTATCCATATAACTCTAATAAACTTCAATTTAGGTCACGCTCATGTCTCTTTGTAGGATATTCCCTAGAAAACCTCAGCTACAAATGTCTTGATTTACGCATTGGTAAGCTATTTCACTCTCGTCATGTTATTTTTCATGAACAATTGTTTCCCTTTAAAGATTCTTCCACTGCACATGTGCCACCTCTCTTTGAGTTTTTTACTTTTACTCCCCTACCTCTACTAAGGTCATGTCTAACGAGCTAGTTGCCATGCCTTCCCCTTCTGTGCCCCATGAAGGTTTGGTCCAAGAAGTTTGTCTACCTACTGCAGCTTCCTCTTCGCCAATTAACTCCACTCAACCTCACAACCCAACCCATAGTTGACCCATCAAGTCCTCCAATACCTCTCCTAATTTCTTACCCTCTAAGTCTGTCCAATCTTCCTTGGCCCACTTACCTACCCCTACTCCATCCTTCCCCATTTCCCCATCACAACCTCTTAGCTCTAACCCGCCCCTCAGTCTCTTGGTCCACCTCCAACTCATATTCCCACCTAAACTCACCCAATGGTTACTCGCTTCCAAAATAATATCTTTAAGCCAAAAGTCCTCCACTAAGCTGTCACATCTTCTGTTGCTCCCATCAATGAACCAACATATATGACTCAAGCTTTTAAAAATCCCAATTGGCGGCAAGCCATGTTTGATGAGTTTAGTGCTCTTGTTCGTCAAGGTACATGGGATTTGGTTCCCCCTAATCCTAATTATCATCTAATTGGTTGCAAATGGGTTTTTAGGCTTAAGCGGGCTAAGGATGGCAATATGGAGTGCTATAAAGCACGCCTTGTTGCCAAAGGCTTTCATTAGCGACCAGGTTTTGATTATTTCAATATCTTCAGTCCTGTGATTAAACTTACTACTATTCGTGTTGTTTTATCCATTACTATTAGCAAAAATTGGCCTATTCGACAGCTTAATATTAACAATGCCTTTCTACATGGCACCTTGAAGGGGAATTATTCACACAACAACTTGTGGGTTTTGTTGATCCTAACTTTCCAGATCATGTTTGTCACTTGAAGAAGTTTATTTATGGTCTCAAGCAAGCTCCATGGGCCTCATTTCAAGAACTTAAACAATTTCTTCTCTCTTAGGGGTTTTCCTCCTCACAGTCTGACTCCTCACTCTTTGTTTTTCTCAAGGAGTCATCCTGGATTTACTTTTTGGTTTATATCGATGATATTCTTGT